AAAGGGGCCTTGTTTTGCGCAACAGCCAAGTCATGGTGCCTGCCCATGTTTCCTTTTGCCAAAGTCTAGAGAAGATTTCACAGGCCATTGATGTGGGCCCCTGGCTTTTTTTGGAGGTTTCTGCGGGAAAGTCATACAGACAACGTGTATGTGATTGTATGATGGGAAATTAGAGGCCGACACCAATGGCCTGTGCCATTTTCTCGCGTTTGTTTGCCCTCGCGGAGTTTTGGTGAGTTGGCCACCAGACGTTTCGTGAGTTGCGGTCCAGCATCCTGGGCGCTGATCTGACTGATTGACTGATTTGCTTAGGGCAGCTTTGGTGGGAAGATTAAAAAGAGGCTCGCAGCCCGCGGGCCGCATGTGCGTCAATCGATTTGTTGGGCCTGTACAGTAGGTAAGCAAGTCAGCCACCCCTCGAACTCCAAAAGGAACATGGCTGGTGGCCTCTACTGGGAAAAGGCAGCCTAGTGAAAGGAGGCGTTTTGTTGGAATTTGTTCTGCGTGTTTGTGTGTGTGTGTGTGGGGTTTGTGTGTGTGTGTGTGTGTGATGTGTGATGTGTGATGCGTGTGTGTGTGTGTGTGTGTGTGTGTGTATATATATATTTATATTTAGTTTTGTTCAACGGTAGCCATGTTCAACGGCAGCCAACGAGAAGTCCACCCACTTTGTTTTGTTGCTTAATCTGGGGACCCAATTAACTCTATTGAATAACCATGCTCTGATTTCATATAGAGACACATGACGAATTGATTTAAGCAGTGCGGGTCAAAGAGCATATTGTTCACTAGGTGGTTGGCCCGACCCTGCTGCGCCCACGTTTGGTGCTCTCAGGTCGTTGGAGGATTCGCTGCGCGAGCCTGCCACTTCGCCTTTTGCGGTGGCAAAGCATTCGGGCGGATGCGGAGCGCACGGAAAAGTTCAGTCTGCACGTCTTTGAAGGCAGCCAGGTTATGCACACTGTGGATGGACGAAATCATGCACCACCTAAGAAACTCAGGAACCCTGTAAATACCAACAAACAATGGTTTCCCCTAGTTTCCAAGTGGTGCAGGATTTCGTCCATCCACAGTAGCATGACAAGATTGTGGGCTTAAGCTATCAACAACTTCCAGCATCGTGCCCAATGCCGCGTTTGCTGATGCTGGATTTGGTCGCATGGGAGCAACTCAATACGGCTCAAAGGGGCTGGTCAGCCCCGGGCGAACTGTTGTACGTCACTTTAAGGGCATGCTTTTCTTAAGGATTTCGCTTTTTGGGCTGTTCCCAAGAGGAATCTACGAGTTTTGTTTTGTGGGATTCCCAGTTTAACTCGGTCCCATACCATTGCCACACCTGATTGGCTCAAATCGAGAATTCAAACGGCTGATAAGAAGTGACAGCAAGAAGCACAGGACGCACAGATCCGCACAGATCGGGACTCTGCAAGTGTCCTATTCCTAAAAGGGCCTTTGGATGGGCTCTGTTTGGCTCCACGTGCGAGAGGCCTGCCTCTTCAAAAGCAACCAGCAACAACCCCCAAGTGTTCAAGAAGCAACAGCCTCCCACAATTGCTTTCTGTTGCAAGGCAGCCACATGGCTCGGGGAACGACCGTCAGAACCCATAAAAAACGGTATAAAAATAGAGGAACACCTCCACCGTCACACCCTTTGTTCCCAGCCGCAGGTGTTCCGGAACCGAAGGCCGCGGGCCGCGCGATGGGAAGTCAGAGCTCCGGCCGCGCCTGGCGCGCGCGAGGCGCGCGAGGCGCGCGAGGCGCGGAGCTCAGCGGCGGTTCCGTGGTTCGGTCGCATTGGGAGGCAGGCTTAGCGTGTGGCTTGCTTCCGAGGCGCCGGATGCCAAAAGAAAGCTGTTTTTGCAAGAAGGGGTTGTGCACTTCCACCAGGTATCTTGCTGGGAGGGAAAAGGTGGGGGGCAAAGTTGAGTTCCTATATTTCAGGACTGTTGGCTCAGTCAGTTGATTGCAAGTGAAGTGGTACACGCAAAAACCAGTGATTCGACTTACAAGAATGAGCTTGTCAGAGTGCAAGCGAACCAAGCACACCCAACACAAATGTAAATCGGGGTCATTTACAGGGTCAGCATCATCCACATGGGCGGTGTGCGCTTCATGCCTCAAGAGCAGCGCTCTAAGAATTCTGTGCGCGTTCTGCGCGAATTCTTGAACTAGCTTGGTTGCCATTCGTTCAACATGTCAAGCTTTGCTTTGTGGCTTTCTGAGCGCTGGCGGGAGCCAACACATACTTTTGTAGGTGCCCCTAAAAGCAAGCAGACATTCCTTAAAATTGAATTTCCACCAAACCAACAGTTCAAGCTTTCAAGCCATAGTTTTGAACCTCTAGAGTGCCTTGGATTCACCTGTGACGTTTGGTTGGTCCGCTGGGATGCTTTGCTGGCTTTCAGGGCGACATGAGCCACGTTGGGAAGTGTGCAAGCACGCAGCCAGCTATCTTATCGCAAGTCGTGACATCAAGCAATCTGACCGATTTTCAAGATCCCCTGCAGCAGCCTCCATCAAGGTGTGCCATGCCATGGCCGCGGTGACTCGCTGGCAGCTGTGGACATGCGCGATATTTGCTATCATCGGAGTGATGGCAATCATGCCTTCAGAAGGTCTTTCCAAATTTGTTGGTCTCGTATATGCGGAAAGCAAGCTTGCTCACGGCGATGTGGGCTTAAGCACATCTACCACTGCCACTGCTTCCACTACCGCCGCAACTAACACTATGACTACTTCCAGCAGAACCATTACATCCACTGCCACTTCTGCCGCTACCACCGCAACCACAACCATCACTATTATCACCACTCACACTACAACCATCACCTCCGCCACTGCTGCCACTACTAGCTTGCAAGCAGCCCATGTGTCATCAACTTTGGGTACCACAACAACAAAGCAGTCCATCCGCTATCCCAGCTGGTTTCAACCCTCAGCATGCAATGCTGCCGAGGGCATGCTTGTTGCCACTGGTAACGCCACTGGCAACGCCACTGGTAACGCAGACAATCCAGACAATCGGTCTGGCACGCTGCCCTATTATTGGAACAAACACATTCTTATGATCGGGGATTCGCGAATGCGCTACCAGTATTTGTCACTGGCGTATTTCTTTACCCATGACAAGTTTGGCGATGTCGCCGAAGTGCCCTGGCTGTGCAACGAGAAGTTAATGGGGAGTGGGACAGGCAGCAAGTGGAATCGCTTCTTCTCGCAGACGAGCCAGATTGTAGAGCACGAGCTTTGCAATTGCCATCGGGGCGATACATTCAATCCTAAACTCGCGCTCGAGGGACGATACTACCGCAACCCTTCAAAGAACTTGGCCATCACTTATTATCCGCGGTATGCCGACGGAGCTCCTATTCAGGGGCACTGGTTGACCAACGGTACCAATGTGGCCGCCTGCAGCTTTCAGTGTCACCCAAATCGATGTAGCCTTTCCACGGTCCCGGCCACTTGGCAGGCGTGGACTTCCGCGCAGCTCGCCGAGCACATCGCAGGTCTGCGGCCTGACTATGTCGTTTTCAGCCCCGGCTGGGAGGAGTTCGCTGCCAAATGGACAGCTGCTGACTTGGTCCAGCTTTCTCAGCAGATTGCAAATCATTCATGTCCAGCCAGGTTGTTCTACAAATCGCGCAGTCGCAGACAGCAGGACAATCCTAAGGCCTGGCTTGCAAATCAGAACGCTCGCACCAAGGAGCTGATGGAAACGCCCGGTTTTGCGAAGCAATGGAACATCTTTGATGTCTCTAACATTACCGCTGAGTGGGCGACGGCCAAGCAAATGATGTGGGATGAATATCACTACACCTTGCCCGCCAACAATGTATTGAATCGGATGCTAATTCACAGCTTGTTCGGCCTCCAAGTTTAGCTTTGTCTTAGCCGCGAGGCTTGATGCATGAAAGAAAAATAGGATTAGACTGGTGTGTGGGAGAAAGGAACTGATCATAATGCTGTCTCTCTTCCCAGCTTTATAAGTGTCTCCTGGCATTTAGAAAAGAGAAAACAGGGTCAGAAGCAACTAGAGAGTTCCACCCCTCAGTTGTAGGATATGACTGAGAGATGCTAGTGCCACGGCCAAAAGCACACCTTTGCTGGATGGTAGGGAGGTCATGCACCCCTCAACAAGTAATGAAGATGACTGTTGTAAGGTTCCATTCTGGGAATGACTGTCAAGGCCGGAAAGGATTTCGTGCAATGGCACATAGCCTATGTCAATGGGTCGTTCCGACAGCTCGAGTGCATCCGCGAACTGCGAACGAGGATGAAGCCGGACAAAGGCTGGGACTTCAGGTTCTGGAGTCGCTGCCTGTGAAGTCGCGTCTGAATCCCGGGAGATAGTTCACAACATATCTCTGAGCAGTGAGTTTTACTCAAGAAACTGGTGACAATTCATCCACATGTAAGGGATGTCGCCCAACAAGTTTCCGTCGAATCACCCGATTCGGTCCATGCATGTGGCTCTTCGCGGATGGGCCGCCGGTTTTTGGGGAGTCGGGAGGCCGCGTGCGGTATCAGCCAGAGCCGCTGGAGGCGGTGGAGGAGATCGAGGAGAAAGCTGACGAATTTGTGACGCATTTGCAAGCACGTAGCGTACAAACACGCATGCCGACTTATATAATGTGCATATTATAAATATATGCTGGTGCATTTTGCTGGGATGTTAGCACTTTAACTTTTTGCCAACTAATGGGTTTTCAATCAAACCACTAAAAGTTAGACTTTTAGCAGGGGAGCAGTATATATGTATATGTGATGTGAACAATGTGGCCACACGGTGTTTGTTCACACTGGTCAGTCGGAAATGGGGAGGGGAAGTTACTCGATTTGCAAAGGCGTTGAACGGGTTTTGTGCCCAACACGTCCAACTGAACTACGTGAGCATGAGTCAACATAGATCATTAGATGGGGAAGTGCTACTTATCGAGATAAGACGCTGAGCATACACTTCTATTGGAATATATATATATATATACACATATTCACATGGCGTATTATTGCTAGGTGGTCCGCTTTTCCAGGAAAGCCTTGACGTCCAACCCCAATAAACTCAAGGTGACATAAGCTTCGTGGGTGCAGCACCGCGCCACTAAGAAGTGTGGCTGGCGTTCCGCCCCTTTTGGCCAATTTGATGCTTTTGGGCAGACGGCGTAAACCCAGGTGTTGATCATCCCCTTTTATCTCAGACTAAGTGACTTGAGGTCTAGTTGAGGGGCTGGCTCAAACTTGTCGCGAGAAAGGCGTTGCTGAAGCGACCTGTTCCCACTGTTTTTTTTTCTTCTTCTTTTTCTCAGCTTGCCAGTCAGTATTTAATATGTCCCCTCCAAATATCCGGCTAGCGCGGCTTCCGGTAAGTTTTGTGAATGGCCTCCTTGCTGGGGTCTCCTCCAAACAATATTTTTGAATTTTGGGCCAGATGAAATATCGAACAGAGTCTAATGCTTGTGTTTGTGTACCACAGCTGTGGGCCAAGCTTGGTTGGCAAGGGCTGGAGGGAGTCTTGGGGTGCCGGGGTGACAGGACCAGGATGGTTGCACCTCGGACGCTGTGGCCGATTTTGCGGTCAACAAGGATGGATTGCTTCGTGGGATCGATGGGCGCGGTTTCGGCGCTGTTTCTCCAACAAATTCTCCACAAACTGGCCGTTTGAGCAGGTTTGCAGGTGTTAATTAAAATTTTATATAAAATCGGGAACGTTTAAAGCAGGTTTGCAGGTGTTACTACCTGTTTCATGGAGGCTATAGCGTTAACTTCTGATTAATCCGCAGGAACATACTATCAGGGATGGGAACACCATTTGGGAAGTTGTCATTGAGGCTCATATAAACCCAACCATTCTGGTGGCAGCAGAAAGGGGTTTGGGCGCTGTTCACGTGTGCTGGGCCTTTACTTTGACTGCACAGGGCCTTCTGGCTGTTCAAAGTCAATTGCCTTGGCTTGCGGAGTCCCCCTTGTAGTAGTCAAGTTGGGATGGTGGTGGACTACTTTAAGGGGCAGGGTACTTAGCAAGCGATTGGCAACCTCGGTCATAAGCGCTTAGCGTGGTTATAAGTCCCCTAAGTGGGTTGTAACCATGGTTATCACCCGCTTCCTAAGTAGAACGCTCCTTCAAGCAGGATTTGGCGGGCGCTGTTGATGTTGGTCTGGCGTGTAACCCAGCTCTTCAGAGTATTCCAAGTCCCTTTGAAAGTTCTCTTTGATTCTTTTTGGGATGTGCAACACGGGCACCTAGGTCCTAAAATGGGGACTGAGCCAGTTTCAAGGTATGGATTAAGTTGCCCGTGGATATGGGAAAATGAGCGAGTCCCTCTGCTTGGGGAAACTCGGAAATGTCACTCCCACAATGACCACAGACTGGAGCCCACCAGGTTCTTCCCGAGGGGGGCAGATGGTTGGGAGGCGCTTGGGAGGCAGAAGGACGAAAGCCGAGCAAAAGATCAGACAGTTGGCAGTTCTGTTGCGTCTTCCCAGCAGGTCCTTAGTATTTCCTCTTGGTTTGGTTTCAAGTGGATCAGCCAAAGGCTCCTGAATCAGGGAGGATTACACAGTCCGTGCAAACTTTAGCGCCTCATGATGCAGGTTCCTTTCTTGGGTCGTTGCGATTCACCTGGATGTACTATTTGGCCATGTGCCTTGCAAGAGACACAAGTAGAGACCATATCCCAACCCCCCCCCCCGTAAGAGGGAAGAATTGGGCCTATGTGTCGCCCAAGGCCCTGAATAATAGTTTCCCGGGTTCTCCCTGGGCCAGTTCCAGGATATTAAAATAAATAAATAAATAAATAAATAAATCAAAAAAGAACAATGATTTTTTTTTTAAAAATTTCTGGAGGCCTCCATTTTTTTGATGTTTTCTAAATAAAATAAAAATAGATAGTTTCCTGGGTTCTCCCTAGGCCAGTTCCAGGATATTTAAAAAATGTTTAAAAAATCAAATATATATTTTTTTTTTTTTTTTTTTAAAAAAAAAACCTCAAATAATTTAAATAGTTGTTTTTTTTTTTAAAAAAAAATCTGAAGGCCTCCAAAAATTTAAAAAATAAATAAATAAAAATCAATTAATTTAAAGAACAAATCAAATAATTTAATTATTTATATTCTTAAAAAAAAAAAATCTGAAGGCCTCCAAAAATGTAAACAATAAATACATAAAACTCAATTAATTTAAAGAAAAAAACAAATAATTTAATTATTTATATTCCTTTTTTTTAATTTCTGGAGGCCTGCAAAAATTTAAAAAAAAATAGAAAATATAAATAGTTTCGTGGGTTCTCCCTGGGCTAGTTCCAGGATATTTAAAAAAAAAATCAAATAATTTAAAATATTCAAATAATTTAAATATTTATATTTTTTAAATTTTTGGAATTTCTGGAGGCCTTCAAAAATTTAAAAATAAAATAAAAAATATAAATAGTTTCCTGGGTTCTCCCTGGGCCAGTTCCAGGATATTTAAAAAACATAAAAAAATAAAGAATTCAAATAATTAAAAAAAAACAATTCAACTAATTCAAATATTTATATTTTTTAAATTATTTAAATTTTTGGAGGCCTCCAGAAATTTAAAAAAAAAATAAAAAAATATAAATAGTTTCCTGGGCTCTCCCTGGGCTAGTTCCAGGATATTTGAAAAATTTAAAAAAATCAATTAATTTAAAACAATCAAATAATTTAAGTATTTATATTTTTTTAAATTTTTTAAATTTCTGGAGGCCTTCAAAAATTTAAAAATAAAATAAAAATATAAATAGTTTCCTGGGTTCTCCCTGGGCCAGTTCCAGGATATTTAAAAAACATAAAAAAAAATAAAGAATTCAAATAATTAAAAAAAACAATTCAACTAATTCAAATATTTATATTTTGTAAATTATTTAAATTTTTGGAGGCCTCCAGAAATTTAAAAAATAAAATAAAAAATATAAATAGTTTCCTGGGCTCTCCCTGGGCTAGTTCCAGGATATTTGAAAAATTTAAAAAATTCAATTAATTTAAAAAATTCAATTAATTTAAATATTTATATTTTTTTAAATTTTTTAAATTTCTGGAGGCCTCCAAAAATTTAAATAATTTAAAAAATATAAATAGTTTCCTGGGTTCTCCCTGGGCCAGTTCCAGGATATTTAAAAAAAAAAAAAAAAATCAAATAATTTAAAAAGAATCAACTAATTTAAATATTTTTTTTTTATTTTTTTTAAAATTTCTGGAGGCCTCCAAAAATTTAAATAATTTAAAAAATATAAATAGTTTCCTGGGTTCTCCCTGGGCCAGTTCCAGGATATTTGTAAAATTTAAAAAAATCAAATAATTTAAAAAAATCAAATATTTTAAATATTTAAATTTTTAAATTTTTTAAATTTCTGGAGGCCTCCAAAAATTCAATAAAAAAAATAAAAAATATAAATAGTTTCCTGGGTTCCCCCTGGGCCAGTTCCAGGATATTTAAAAAAAAAAAATCAATTAATTTAAATAATTCAACTAATTCAAATGTTTATATTTTTTAAATTATTTAAATTTTTGGAGGCCTCCAAAAATTTAAAAAAAAAAATAAAAATATAAATAGTTTCCTGGGCTCTCCCTGGGCTAGTTCCAGGATATTTGAAAAAATTAAAAAATTCAATTAATTTAAGAAAAATCTCATAATTTAAATATTTATATTTTTTATTTTTTTTTTAATTTCTGGAGGCCTCCAAAAATTTAAATAATTTAAAAAATCTAAATATTTGAATTATTTGTTTTTTTTTCTTCTTTTTTTAAATTTTTGGAGGCCTCCAGAAATTTAAAAAAAAAATAAAAAAAATATATAAAACAATTATTTAAATTAATTGATTTTTTTAAATTATTTGAATTTTTCTTTTTTTTTTTAAATATCCTGGAACTGGCCCAGGGAGAGCCCAGGAAACTATTTATATTTTTATTTT